GCTAACAGGTATGAGCTCTTTTTATTTTTGGACTTGATTTTCTTTTGGCTTGAAATTAGAGTTCTGATTTTTATGCAAATTAGCTATAACGTAAACATTTGCGCCCACCTATTCGTTACACTAAAACTATTCTTCTAGTTTAGATATTGATTTTTTTATTAGTTCTATTAGGGACATCAAGTGATTATTTTAAGAAATTTCATTTTAGAAATGTGTTTTGGTTATTACTTTTCAGACATAAATCATTTAATAGATCTTTGATATTTTGTCAATATACTCCTAAATCGGTGGGAATTCTAGTATGCATAGGGCGAGGTATCCTGGGATATTGTGATGTACAGCTCTATAAACATACAGCTTAAAAGTCGACTTGCACCCGAGAGCCTTTGCGTGCTGTTGGACGTTGCTTTCTGATTGGTTGAGRTTCGAAGATGGCGGATTTCTTATGCAAGAAACTGGCGAAAAGGCTGTCGATGGACGTTGGCTTTTAAAATAAGTACTAATGCTACTCAATGATGGAAATTGCAATACTTAGTTGTAAAATGGCAGTTAGAAGAGCCCACGCTTATCCAAAAACAAAAAAAAGATTCTAGTTAGATATACTGGTCAGAGAAATAAAACAACTGTTATATTCGATTGCTGTTGTCAGTTTTTATTCCTTTGGTTTTCAGGCAAGACAAGTTAAAAGTATTTTTGCTATTAACAGACATCATCAAAGAAGTGTATATATTTTCAGCATATCCTTTCACCTTAGTTTTACACCACGCATTTTGCAAAAACAATTTTCTTTTAACATAACTTGTTTTCTTTTAAAAACATCTTGCTTGGAAAAAAATGAGATTTGAGGATAAAACAAATTACTGAATTCGTCTTTTGTAATCTAGCTGATTAAGGTCTCGGCTAGTGCCTGGCTTCGGCTAATCTCTCATGCTTTAACCTTGATTAGATTAGATTTCTATTATCAAACAAATTTAACGCCTAAAAGATCATTTTCCGTGCATGGTGAAATATTCATCACCTTTTTAATGGATCAATTTGTGTCAAAGTTACTGCTGCCTAAATACAATTACCTAGTACCTCAATTGTTACAATTGTGTTACCAACGCAGAGTTTTTCCCCTTTATTTCGATGACACTCGTCTAAAATCGTTTCCTTTTTGAGTTTACTTATACTATTTTTAGTTCCCATGCAAAGATAGCTAGGCTTTAACCGAATAATGAAAAACAATTTTGCAAATAGGGATATTCTAGACGTAGAACTACGTAGTACTCTTWATGTCCYGAGAATTTTGTTTTTTAATAGTCGAAGATAGCCTTGGTTGAGTTATATGAGATGTCATTTTTAAGCAAACATGATGGGCAAATTAAATGATGCACTGCTAGTGTTGAGATTGGAGTATAAATGACAATGAAAGAATACATCAACTAACTTGATCTTAGCTCGGCAWTGCTTGYTATTTATAGATTTCCAACATTGTTTTTGYGCCTTTCAAAGAATGAAATTTGAACGAAAATTTTCTTATGAAGCTGAAATTGCTTGTATACGAAATTCCTACGTCGAAACCTAAGTGGCGCTAAATATATAGTTTGAGGGACCAATTTCAATTAAGCTCAGACAAAGAACGTTTGCTTACATAAGCTGTAGCACTTCCTAAAGTATTCGGTCAAAATAGAACAGTTAGTCATTCTGACTGCATATTGTCTCGCACTCATATCATTTGCGGGCTTCCTGGGCATCAACCAGCCAATCAGAAGCGAAGGAATTCCTCTGAATTGTGACATCATCAATACATGTAAATAGGAACACCCTTTGGAGAAAGTGTTGGTTTGTTCATTATGAGGAACGCTGATTACACAATTCATTATGCTATCTGTTGAAGCTTGTACAGAACGAACGTCAGTGAAAGTAAATTAAGGTAAAAAAAGAACAGTAATGGGTTTGGATTTATCTCTTACCTTTTCAAGTCTATCTGATATCGGATCTTAGATTCGAGAGGAATCATACTCTTATTTATAAACATGTATTTGATATACTGTCATATCGATGGTCAATCTATGTTTTTATTCTCGCATAAATCCTCTTACGTGTGCTCAAACGCTTAAAAGGTCCAGTATTCCAACTTTCTAAAGACGGTCTTTGTTAAATTAAGGCGTTAGGCTTTTTTCAATGCTAAGTTTCCGGCATATTCGTAATTATTAAAGACGTTGTTCTGAATTGGATTCTTTGCGTTTGACAGCTGCTTGACATTGTTTTATGTGGATAACGAATGGATTTTTCAGTGCAACGGGTCAATCGGACTATTGCCTCACTTTAGAACTTTGTACGTACGACAGTAACAACGCTCAAACTTAACATTTCATTGCCCGCACACCACAATTATAGACCGATGTTTATTGTAATTAAAAAAGGCTACAAAACTACGTCCTCCTGTGAGGCCAGAGAGGCAGTTCAGTGTAATTTGCTTTCGGAGATGTCGAAATTCTTCAAATTAAGGAAGAACGTCAAATGTAAAATAATCACACATGAAATGGTCAACAGTTACGAAACGCGTCTCTGCCTGCTGCGAAATAAGCTACAGCAGTCTACAATAACCGTTTCCTCCAACGAGTAAAATGTTATACCACATTAAAAATTTATATCTTTTYATTTTTCATCTTTTATTTGAGGACATGGYGCGAAAGACTTGAAACAAATTGCACAAATGCTTTAACATGATCAAATTAYAAAAWTTCTTTTGAATTGTAGAAATAAAATGACAGCACCTTCCTGTGGGGCTTAAATGAAAAGTGCTTATAACAAACAATTGCAATGGATTCCGTGCATGAATTCAGTTGTAACCGCTGAATTCCCAAGAACGACAAAATGACTTTAAATTCAAAGTGCAATTAGACTTTGACCAAAATGAGAGCATGTTTTACTAGCRTAATTATATAGTATCGCCAGAGATTAATATGTCGAGAAAATATWGAAATTTTCCAAATTTTAACGTTTCAAAATTTTTGGGCTTTCGTTGGACTGGTGGGGAATTCAAACTGGGMTTAACATTTTCTGTCTGTGGAAAAACTGAATGCAAATTTTCCTCTAGAAATTGCTCTGCAATTTAATTGCGAATAAGGGAGGAATACCAGCTGTACTAGAACTGTTGCGTACATTCTATTCTTTGGCAAAGCAATTTTTTCTGCAAAAAAATATAATTGTATTTATGCTTATTTCTCTACATGTAATCGGATTAAAGAGAATTACTGTTGGAGCCCAACATTTGCTAAACGTTTGTCACAGGAGTCCAGGTCGAGTGCACTGTACATTACACTGTATATTTCCGGTACTTTGCTAGACACACCTGTAGTTTTTGTTGGCTGTCAACGTATTATAGAACTGTGAATTGTACGTCCTCAAACGAGCGACCAATGACCCTTATTTTCGGTTTCGTGGATATCAGTATAGGCGCAAAAATATAATCATAATCCTATTAATCGTTGTTCGGCCAAATTACACTATTAAAGAGCCCATTAAAACTTTCTCAATTTGGTGAAATGGTGAACAAATTGGAAAAAATACTAACGAATAATCCGCAAAAACACTTAGAATAAGTACATCATGTACATCATCTAAAGAGTGTTTTAGATTTGTGATCAATAGAATCGAGATGAAGGTAACTTCAGTTTAGCAAGAGCTGTTTCATATCTGGAGTAATTATTAATTTGGAAATTTTGCAGCGTCTCATTCTTTCAAATAAAAGTGCTGATTACAACCAATAAAAAAGCGTTGAATAGTCTGAAACCTTTATAATTTGATTAAGAATTATATGATATTCTATTAACATAAATATGAGGGAAATTTCATTAAATTGACCATTCATAATATTTGATTAACAGAAGAATTCTACTGGCCGCTAAAAAAAATCAATTTATCATATAATTATCTATAAAATACCTATATTTCTCCACAACGTAAAGTTGTGAAAATAATACATTCGTGGTATCTTTATGGAAGTAAATAAGAGTTTTTTTAACATAATTTTCTATCATTGATAATTATATGATGAAAAGAATACACATTGTCGCTTGGAGATACGAATTTTATGTCTTTTTTTTTTGTTCAAAATTTCTCACTCGTTTGCTATACGCTCACTCGATTGAATCCGCATCTCCGCGCACCCATGTAATATCCTCATTCCCTAAATATGTCACTATGCATCAATACATAACTGACATTTCGAAATGAAAAGTTTTCATTTATCAAAAACCTGAACTATGCTTGAATAACATTGGATAAACAAACTATCGATGTATTCTTACCACCTGTTTTAGCGAGAAAAGAGCAAAAACCACATAACATTACCCATCATGCACTCGATATAATAGTATATGTCAACGGTTTGAATTTTTACAAGTGTCTGTAAACCACAGTATGCAAGACGGTCGGGTTTATTGATACCTCTTTAATAGGACTTTCAGGCCAGTCACTGTTCATAAAAATCAAGGTTTGGCGATRAAGAATACGAYATATTTCCYCTTTTATTCATTGCAAGGGAATATGTTATAATGAAAAAACCCCACGATATTAATAAATTATTATTCTGTCGTCAACGGTGTTTTTACTGTTGAACAGTTCATATGGTCTTTTTGTATTTGTTTATCCGTCGGAATAACCCAATAGGAACTTTAACAATTTTGAAACTAGTCACTTTTGCTTAATTTCTAAATGTCGACCCATCAGTTCATCGTTCTCTGTTTCCTTTAAGAAGCCTTGGCCTATTTTTCTTTTTCTTTTTTTCTTTTTTTTTCTTTTTTATTTTAAACAAGACAGATGAGAAAAAAGACAGTATTACAAAAATAATTTACAATTAAGGAGCAGCACACTAAGCAAAGATGGTTATTGTGGCTTGTTATATTCTAGAACATGTAAGAATGGAACATAAAAAGGTAACTACCGGGTTAGGATAATTTTGTTATACGTGTTTGGGAAATGGGTCATCGTTAGCACGCTGTGATCGTCATCAGCCCCCTTCTGTTTCATATATGACCACGCCAAGCAGTTGTTCTCTTATACATATAATTTTCATTATCTAGCCCTATATCTACAGTCCTAAGAATATCAAAGGTCTGCCTTTTTCAATAAACAGCAGCCAATTTATTCTTTCTAGAAACCTGAAACCAGTGTAGTGATCAACCAGTAACTTGACAGCATCCTTTAGATGCCGAGTAGGCACCATGGCAAATGGCTGACACTCGATAGTTTACGTTCTTGTATCCTATAGACCTTAAACGTCATTTTAAAAGGGGAATTGCTGCCATGACGACCTTTTGGAATGTCAAAGAGTTGAATGTTTAAGAAGATCTTTAAAATGAACAATCATTATAGAACAAGCAAGCTGTATTATGTTTTGAGCATAGGCGAAAAAAGACCTCTGCGTCGCTGCGTGACTAAATTGACATTGCTCAATGTGGAGTATTGAAATGAATGTGAGACGTTTAAAATAGTAAAAACTCAACTTGTTTGGTTGAACACTGTTCAKTCATCATCGTAATGCATTATGCATCAAGTAGTTTTCAATTCACAGTTTCCAAGGAACATTGATAGTCGTGCAAAAACGATGATGTTATTCTAACGGCTAAGTTTACCTTTTAATCTTGATTCGTCTTTCTCTTCAAATTCTTGCATTTTTACGTTCGTGCTATGGCATTTCATCTCAATGAACCAGCTACAAAATTTCAACTAAATGATAATAATAATAAACTGGAGTAACGCATGCTAAAGGAATTAATTTGCATTGAGTACCCATTTAGTAGTTTTTTTTTTGTGATAATCAATTCAGATGCTAACCTGCCACAGCAGAGGCCAATAAGCTGTACACAAAATCACCTGCAGTAGAACAGATAATTAATAGCTTAAAGGATTTTACATTGACTTCCTTTGGGTAAAATAGTCAATATGAAGGACTAGACAAACTTATTAACACAAATTCTAGAAATCAATTGTAAGCATTTTGTTGTTCAACAGATATTTTAATCCGAGACTTCGGCGTATAAAAAGATGAAGTCCAAAGTTCTGCCGGTGGTATTCGCGATTTGCTTTTCGCTTGTACAAGGAACAAGTGCGTTAATAGGAGGTATGTAATATATATATATATGAATGGTTTGCCAGCGCGCTGACAATGTATATTTTGCTGGAAAAGCCTTATTCTTTTAGGTTTTTTTTCAATGTGTAATTTCTAGTCAACCTTTTCTATTTTCTGAGATTGTTTTTTTTTTATGTTATTTCTGGGATGATTTTTTATGCTTCTGAAGTTTTTCATTTTCACGGTATTAACCTACAATGATGAGTTTATAAACTTTCGTTATCTCAAAAACATATTGTTTGTGGTTTTTGCTTACTCTTAGTTTGACAATGGAGTCCTGTTATACGACGTTTAGCAACACACGCTGGCGACATTCATCAATGGTGATCCATTTCTCATCAAAACAAAACCCTTATAAACCTGTAAAAACCCTTAAACCCACCACGCATTAAAATACCAAACAACAGTCTAAACATGCAAGCATATAAAGTAATTCTATACGATTAATTTTTAAAAGAAAACGAGTTTTTCTATACTTGCTGACATGGTATGAAGTCAGACTCTTGTACTGACTTGATCATAAAATTGTAATATAACTGCGCATACATTCATATGAGATTTCACACTGATATAAACACTATTTCAGCCCTCTATAAAAGATAAAATCATAATATTTTGTTCACACATCTTAATTATTCGATTATATGACCACTCGTATCAGCTGTTTGCTTAATTAGGTTTTCTCTGTGCGTATACATCCCTACAACAAGTCGTTTTTTACATACAGTAATCTATTCAAATGTCAGCCCAAAATTACATAAAAATGACACTTCATTGGCAGAATATCGCTTAAAAATTCCATGATGCCAAATAAGAGCCACAAAAGATCATATATTTTCTCTTTTTTGATCATTTAGATGAGCCAAATGAGGGAAAATTGCTTACTAAAATTAAAAGATGATTCTAGTTGTCTAACGTTTTAAATATTTATCTCAATCATTATATTTCTGTGACTATCTTGCTCAAGCTATTCAACTTTTTCCTTTAATTTCTTCATAACATTGACATTTTTTTTAAAATTAGTATATACTTTATGTACAGAATGTCTCATTTCTTGTAAGTTTTGTTTTATAAACCAACACTTAATTGCAAGAGAAATGCATTTCTAATTTTTAAGACGTGTAGAAACGCGGGCAGTATTTTTAATAGAGTACTTGGGGCGGATATAACTACATTTCTAGCTACTTGTGAACAGGGAGAAACGTGAACAGGCCAATCTCGTTAAACATACTAACTTATTTACATATCGGTACATTGCGTCCCACGCCGTTGTCTCAGTTGACCGCCGTCAAAAACAACCTATGATCCAATTCTCACACTCTTCCTCACTTCTTCTCACACTACTGTTGCTAATGATATTGAGTAAAACGTCCGAAAACATTGAAAAATTTTTGATTTAAAACACTGCTCATACACACACAAAAAACAAATAGAAACAACAACAACAAAAATAAGGAAAACACAATTGTTTTTCGTTTAAATCAGTTTACAAAAAAAGACATGTACACCTTATTGCAAAAATAAATAGAACGTTTGAGCTTTAAAAAATACCATTTTAACATTAAGAGAAAAGAAAAAAGATCGATCAGTTCGAMAATGTTCTTTTGTCTCAGTTTAATTCATTCCTTAGTAAAGTGAGAAGTGTATATCTCGATAACAAGGTTTTCGTAATTAGTAGGTGTTTACAATGTAGTGCAGTGTGAAAGACCAGCAATAAAAGCTATCGATAAAACAATCGATAAAAACAAAGAACGCTTATGCTAAAACGGAACAATTGATGATCAGAATCAGAAGTACTTCCTTACGCTGTCCTTAAGTCATTATAAAGTAACTTGAATACTTAGACATGTTATCGCTGCTTAACCAACTATTACTAGGAGAACGAAACCTATAAGAAAAAATAGAGGATTTTGTATATTCATCACATTACAGTTTCGAAAAGTCTTTTTATAATAAAGTAATCCAATTGAATACTTAAGACCTGAAACACTACAGTTCCACAAGCTAGTGTACGGTTCTCAGGCAGTTTTACAATGCAATTAGATGGAAGTGACAACAGTAGTGTTATAAAGGCTATACCTTATTTACCCGATATCAATCAGTTTACAATATTCCTGTTATTACAGGAAGTTTCATATGGTATCATAGCATTATCACGAAAATAGAGGATATTACATGGGCGCACGGAGATACGGATTTTATCTTCGAATGTTGAAAAGATCTCAAAAATTTCTTACTTTTAACCGGCCACTGGTTTCTTAAAGTTTTTCTCTTACGATATTTAAAACAAAAGAACTCAAGATGGCGGCCGTATCTGAGAGAAATAGAGGATATTACATGGGTCTGCGGAGATACGGATTTTATCTTTGAGTGTTGAAAAGATTTTCAACACGAGAAGATACAATTCGTATCTCCAAGAGGCCATGTAATATTCTGTTTATCATATAATTACATATGACAGCAAATTTTGTCTTAAAATACCTTTTTTCTTACTTCCACCTATATAGAGAAACCTCGAATGTGTTATTTTCACTTATTTTCACAACTTTACGAAATGGAGAAGTATAGGTATTTCATAGAGAATTATATGATAAAAACAGAATATRTGGTCGCTTGGAGATACGRATTTTATCTTCTCGTGCTGAAAATCKTTTCAACACTCGAAGATAAAATCCGTATCTCCGCAGACCCATGTAATATCCTCTATTTCTCTCAGATACGGCCGCAATCTTGGGATCTTTTGTTTTAAATATCGATTAAGTGAGAAACTTTGAGAAACCAGTAGCCGGTTATAAGCAAGAAATTTTTGAGAATGAAAATCAAATTCAATGTATACACTAAATCATTGAATGTGAAAAACGAGTGCAGAGAGCCCGAAAGCATTTTCTTGCTCGCGACTTTATACCAAAGTGAACAGAAATAGGATAGAACGTTCCAAAAAGACTGTTTTTCTTCACAGCGAATAATTCGTTTGGCATCATTTTTGATCAGATTCATGTTTAAATCATGGACTCTTATTCTGCATAAACAGTTGTTTTTGGCAAATATTTGATGTTTGTTGAGAACTATATTATCCCGCTCCATTTAACAGAGTTAGTGGGTTTGCTGGCCCCTCAAAAAGCCCATTAATTTTGCCAATAATTTGTTTTGTCTGGCTTTCATAGTCGTAAATTAGATAGTAAATGATTATATAATAGATTCTTTATAAAAAGAAGTAGACTTTATGCTTTACTCAAAACGATGGTTAATTTGGTTATGCGGACTCTTCTACTAACATTAATTCTGTCTAGAATCGAAAGCGTCTCGCGGACCACAGGAAATAAAATGAATCGTTCTATAATAGAAAGGTAGATATCGTGGGGTGATATAAAATACCAATAAAAACAGAATTAGCGCTATTTTTGATGCTATTAGGTATCACAGCGTCTGAACTAGAAACCAAAGGAAATTATAGGGACAGTAGACAGAAAAGCAATCAGTAAAAATCGATTTTCATCGTATTGCGTTTCTAGTTTCTTGCCTTGTAGCCATTGCAACCTCTTACCTCTCGTGTTTTTATCTTTATATATTCTATATTGCTTACGTATTGCATCTTTACGTCCATGCATCTTGCACCCTGTAGGTCCAGCTACGTCTTTGATGTAAAGCGTCTTTGTGGACCTTTCCATCTTCTCTTGCGTTCTCCGTTTCAATCGCGTTCACGAGCTTTGCGTCCTTACGTCGCTAGCTTCTTAGTGTTCCAAATAATGTTATCATATTCTCGGAAGTCCTAGCATTAACAGCTTTATCTTACGTTCTACGTTTTTTGCGTTCTTGCGTCTTTATTTCCATTTCACATTATTTGATTGTCGCTCATATACGTTCTTATGTCTACACCTCTTACGTTGTTTGAAATGCATTTATACTCTTGACGGCTAATTACCTTACTTATTATCTTATGCCTCTCATATCCACAGATGTTCATATTTATATTTATATTTTAGTTTTAATATTTGTATATTGTAATTCAATTGGTTAGAACCTTAGAACGTTAAGATTTCGCAGCTTCACAAATACAGTTTATTATCATTTTTTTATTATCATTTTTTATCATTTTATTCATATCATTTTTTCATTTTTTTTTTTTTCACTCCATAATCCATTCCGATTTGCGTTGTATATTTTTATTGTTAACTTCTCCGTTCTTCCTCAGGCGCAACAAAAATTAGCACTTTACAGCACAAATTGATTCAAGACTTGTTAGACAATTATGACAAAGATTCCCATCCTGGCGGCAACTCGACGGTGATGGTCACTTTAGGCGCAAAGCTGGCRCGTCTTGTCAAAGTGGTAAGTCGTCTTACTTATGATATTAAGAGAATTAAGGATAAGATTAATATAGCGAACATCAAGAAATACTAATATACGAGAAACACTGAAGCCTATGTTGCAATAATGCAATTTAACTTTGGGAGGGCTTTTTGTCTTCATTTGTTAGTTTTTTGCCCTATTAAATAGAGGATATTACATGGGCGCGCGGAGATACGGATCTTATGTTCGAGTGTTGAAAAGATCTCTCACGAGTGAGAGAGTTTCAACACGAGAAGATAAAATTCGTATCTCCCAGCAACCATGTAATATTCTGTTTATCATATAATTAAATATAAAAGCAATTGTTCCGTAAAATACCTCTCTTCTTACTCCCACTATATAGAGAAATTCTCGAATTTGTTATTTTTACTTGTTATTTTTACTTATAATAGATATTATATGATATCAGCACTAAATTGAAAGAAAGGGAAATAAACGGTTAAAAAAATATTCACAAATCAATTATTTCATTTATTCAATCAAATTAATTTCGGTTATGTTAATGTGAAAATCAAAGGAAGAAGTCAACAATGTTATCAAAGCGCAATGGTGGATGAAGCAGGTATTGACACCGACTATTTATATTTTATCATGTATGGGCTTCCTGTCTTGCTTGAAGGAACTGTAACACTTATTCTTGACCTCCACCGGTGTCAATTTGGAGAAAACTGTGTTTTGTCCTTCCACTAGTTATCAACATTCCCACTCAACAAGCGCGAACAGTCTTGAACTTGTTGGGGGTACGGAACCAGGGAGAATCATGCAATTGATAAACACTTATCCAATGGATGAAATCCACACAAAATATAACGGATAATCATGTTTATCAACCGTTAGTTAGACCGACACTAACACTGTGTGCATAAACTGTGTGGTTAAAACAACCAAACAATTTTATTCCAGTTGCAAAACTGATCACGTTTTGTGTATTATATATCTTATTTGTTAATTTATCCGACATTCTTTTGTTGTGCAATAAAAGAAAAAATAGAGCTCTAAAAAGAGCATGAAATTCTCTTGATCAAAACTAGCATTGTATATCTAATAATAGGTATGGTACAATCCCGATCTAAAGTGGAACAAGTCACATTATGGAAACATCGACACCGTCTTTGTCGAGCCGCGAAGAATCTGGGTACCAGATGTACTTCTCTACAACAAGTTAGTGGACCGAAGTCGGTGGAGTCTCTTGCTCTTGCTCTTGCTCTTGCTCTTGCTCCTCTTGTATTCGTTTTCTTGGAGAGGCATTACACCTCTCCAAAGAAAATCAGATCCACAATAATTGCAATTTCATACTCTCTTCTTTGTTTTAGTCTCTCTTTTTTTCGTTTTGGAAAATGAGAAGGGTTCACTGGCGGATCCAGCACTAGTTCAACAATTTGCATCATAAAACAAATCCGTGAAAATGAACCATTTTGTTTTAAGATGCAAACTTGTGAACTAGTGCTGGATGCGCAACTGGGGTTAATTTATCAGTACAAGAATCTGATTGATTTTCTGACTTGTTTGTGTTTTGTACAGTGGTGATGAAAAAGTAGATGCCGCCGGAGGAGTAGAAAAATTTAAAACAAAGATCAAAATCGAGAGCAATGGAATGCAGTCATGGTTAGCGCCAACAATCTTTACGAGTATGTGTAAAATGGACATAAGATACTTTCCATTTGATGAACAGTTTTGTGAACTACAATTCGGTTCGTGGTCTTACGATAGCAGAAAGATCGACCTTCAAGTCGATCAAAACGAAACCAAAATACATAAAGAAGTCTATCAAGAAAACAATGAGTGGAAAGTCACTTCGGTCACCGCGAAAAAGCGCTCGGTAAGTCAGCTTTTAGCCCTCGATAATTTACACTTACACTACCAGCAGATTCAAGGGCGGGGCTGGTAGCGCCGCAGCCACCTTGGTATGTTACTCCCGTGGAAACAGACATTTCATTGTCTTTTTGATTTGTCTCTCTCTTTCTTGATAATTTTGTCCGAGAAAAACGGTCGGGAGATTCTGCAGACCCCCCTACCCCTCCGGCAGCTTTTTTGCCTTAACACAGGAATCCTAAGAAGTTGATTTGCATGTGGTAAAAAAGCTCCCCTACACCTACCCTCTCGAATTCTAGATTTTGGTCACATGACTAAACCCAACACAAGGGAAAAACGACCAAAAAATCCATATATAGATGTTATCATATATCATGTTATTTTCTTTTTCAAAAATATTTATTTATTTATTTTTAAGTGAGAAATTTAGAAATTTCATATAATCATATGATAATCAGTATAGTGATACACTAATTAAGTTATTTTTTTAAGTACGAATGGACCCGGCGTTGTGGAGGATTTTCTAAATATTTAAATGTTAAAATCGGCTGAAACTTACAAATATGATAGCAAAAAGACTTGTCAAGAGCCAGCCCTCTTGTTCATTTCCATATATTTCATAGATTCGATGATCAAATCACAAGACTAGCTAAAAAGCACAGGTATCCCGCACTAATGACATCAATTCATTGATATGCAGACATTTTTGTCGTTTGTAGAAACGTTATCCCTGCTGCAAGTATCCCTACACAGATATCCTTGTAATACTACACATGCATCGACGATCATACCACTACGTAGTTAACCTTGTTTTCCCCTGTGCTGTAATTGCCGCTATGGTTTTCTGTACATTTCTTCTACCTGCGGAATCTGGGGAGAGAATCTCGCTATGCATCACGGTACTCATGGCTATGACGATATTCCAGGAACTGACGTCAGAAAAATTACCTGCGTCATCAGAGGGCTTCATTTTGATTGGTGAGATCTGAGTTTTATTTAATTTCATTCGTTTACCTTTTTGAACAAACTAATAGGGAGGTTTTGTATGGAACGGAAAATTCTTCTCGGACTAAAATGACTGGGACTTGCCCAAAAATTTTTATTCGATCGATAAACTTTCCATTCAAAACGACGAAATTATAAAACATAGTGACACGTAAAAATGATGGATGACAAATCGATGATATAGATGCATGTACATGCAGGATATATGTRCACATATAATGCACGGGTCAAACAAGAGATATTCAAACTTTAATTGTGAGAAACCTCAAAATACGACATTTCAGAACTAAGAAAAAAGACACTAACGAATACATCGCTAGGCCTCTTCTAGCACCACTAGGAACAATGGCGTAAATCMAAATGAAGTTTGATCAGTGGGAGGATAATGATTGTAATTCTCTTTCTTTCAGAGATGTACTATACAGCCTGCATCATCGCTATTTCATTGGCTATATTAGCAACTTGTGTTGTTCTCAACTTCTACTATAGACGAACGACAATGCCAAGCTGGCTACGACGACTTCTSCTCGGMCAGCTCGCACGATTATTTTGTATTAAAACACAAGAACAAAAACAAGAGAAGCAACTAAGTTTTTCCAATATAGTTGCTAATGGTGACAGTGACCAAGATGTCAATCATAGTGTCGTCATTCTCAAGTCGATAGTTCCTGTCAATTCTCAGCAAAACAACGAAGTAGTCGCCGAAAACGACACGAGAACTGAAAATCATAACAACGGCACTGCAAATGTGGCGCTGAAGAAACGAAAAAACTCTCAAAGAAAGAAAATTAATAATCCAAAACCAAAATCAGATACGGTATCAGCCTCAGATATTGAAGATGACTGGCGCAAAGCATCACGGGTTGTTGATCGTATTTCCATGGCAATAGGTCTTGTAATGGCTTTATGTACTACCGCTGGCATATTTCTGCAGGCGCCAAGAGTTAGGAAATTTATAACAGGAGASTGAATATAAATAGAAGATAACTCGTGGATTGCACAAATAGACAGCCTTTCGATTGTCGATCAAAGGAACGTCATTTGACTTGGGATGAATCGTCATTTATTCCATTTGACAGCTTATTCCATCCCGCCYAYAACACCAACGCCCCTTCTCCATGTGTTTTTCCCAGATTTGATCAATCTTCCTGAATATTCTTGGAAAGTTTGATTTAATTTCTTATAATAATAATTACAATAATAAAAAAATGGATAACTAGCTTGTCATACTGTATGTTAGGACCTGCTTGATTGGTTCCTAAAAGATTTCTATGGTGTCAGTCCTGCCACTATGGATAGCAGGGGTAGAACCGCCCTTCCGCTATAATTGTCATTCTGAACTTGAAAAGTGAACTTATCGAGTAACGTCACCGTTATTTCAGTTTCAGTACTGTCATCGAATTGAAATTGTTTCACTTAATGAAACACCATAAGTCACCATACTGAGGCTTTTTACATGCAGCACCATTGAAAGAGCTTTAAAATTAACGAGGTTACATTAGAACATTAGAAATCTTCACATATAAATCACACTAGTCTATAAATCCCTCTTCCCGAACTGTTTTCATAATTATAAAATACTATATATATTAGAAAAATTAGTTAACACCTAATAGCGGAACTCCAATAGCAATATATAGAAGAGAATGATTATCTATTTCAAGAATAGCCTTAGTAGAAGTACGCTCTTTCAAAATAACGTAAACACAAAATCTTTTGTTGAAATGAGAACCTATTTATTACAAGTATCTGTAAATATCAATATAAATTGTAAACGCGTCGTAGTTATGACAAAATTGGCGGGAATATTTCTGCGCTTTGATTTCGCTCTCCTCTGGATTATTTGCTTGAAAATGTTTTTTTAATATTATCAATTTCGAAGATGAATGTTCGAATGCAAGATTCTGACGTTTCAATAAATATTTTTGCGTCTTTTTTATTTTCGCGTGAAGTATGGGTTTCCTGTGGTGACACAGGGACGGACTGAAGGAAGAAAGGAAATGCGCTTACGTGCGGGAACCCTGTATCGRTCCATGGATAATGGACTTGATCATTAACCATATATATTAAGTAGAATGACGTAAAACAAAACACCAACTTGTAGCTTTGGTATTTCTCTTTTATTATGGAAGTTTCGGCACTTTGGCCTTCTTCAACAACTGAGCGTTTTGCACCCCAMTCTCTATCTAGATAAATACAACTAGGCAACCAACAGACATAACAACAAAGAAACGGAAATATAAACGTAATTCGCTTAGAAAAAGCGCGCGCACAACACGCTAAATATAGTTAGTATAAACATACTAATGGTCTATCACTCTTACTGCGCTATGATTGGCTACTCTACTAATGGTCTAATTAGTGATAGACCACTCGCGGGAAAATCAAAATGGTGGCATCTCATAAATATAAATCATTTTAAGGATATTTCAATTTGTTCTCATTATTTGACCGATTAGTATATTTATACTAAAACAATTAGACCTCTCGGCCTCGTGGACTACGAGCTAATAGCCCATTCG